ATTCTGAAATTCTATTTTAAAAAAGAAAAGTATAGCAATTTCAATGTGAGGTTAAAACAGGCTTTTCATCATTTATACTAACAGGATGACCATAAGTATTAACAGAATAATTTACAATTATACTCGTGTCTTACTCCTGTTCACGCCAGTCTCTAGAGCATGTCTTTCACTGTTCTAACTGGTGACACCCAGCACTTGTCTCTAACCAGCCTGGAACCACAAATTTCCTAGGAATAAAGCTACGCTCACATCCCTTCTGTCTTTTCACATTTTGGATCTGTGACACATTGATCCCTCCGAAAAGTAACTTTTCATTTATCCAGCAGGTGCTTTCATCCAAAATGACGTCCTTTTTTTGAGAGAGCGGGTTCAGCCAGTCCCAGGAGCAACTGGGGCTAAGGGCCCGGACCAAGGGCCCGATGGTGACATCACTCTGCCCACTTCACGGTTTGAACTGGCAACTTCCGATCACAGGTGCAAAATCCCGACCTGCTGAGCCACACACTACCCCCCAAATAGGAAAGAACATGTTTGATATGGGGAAATACAAATCAGGGAGAAATATAAATGAATGATTAAAGTACTGCCATTTTGCTCTGTCAACAATGACACGGGCTCTCCTGTGATATGGCTAATCCAACAGCCAAGATAACACACCTCTTTACTCCGTCTATCGAACAGACTGCCCCTTGGGTAGAGCAGTTCAGCGTATTAATTACTCTAGTACAGTCATACTATGTTCTTTCCTTCTCTCACACATCTGTCTCCCAATTTGAATTTCCTGTGGTTACTGTAGCTATGCCAACCAGCCTCTCTGTTACTGCCTCTGACTGCCCAACAAGTCACCTTGGCTTTTTCGTAGACTTCCTCAGTTCGGTTACCTATTCTCCTGGCTGAATTCACCTGCCCTCACCACGTCTCAGTCTGTTCCTTGAAGCCGACTGTCACGTTTCCGGAAGAAGGAGAACGGGGATCCAGAAAAGCAGGGTGCAACAAGTTTATTAAACTCCGGGACGTGCGATCTCCGTAGGAGAGCGGTCCCACAGGGGTTCGGGTAGCCGGCCCCTCTGACTGACAGGCCGAGCCCAAACAGGAAACACCCGTGAGATTCTCCACGAGTGGAGCCGAGGCGAAGGTACAGGAGCGGCACGCTGAGATCGTTGTCG